CCAGATTCCACTCCTCCGCACACTCTCCCTCTCTTCAGCACAGGTGAGTGTCTGTATCCGAAATGTCCCATGAAGAGGGTTCAGTGAAAACAAACAAACAAACGCCGGCCGCGGAAACGGGGAAGGCTTGGTTTCTGTAAGCTTCTTCTCTTACCGGGACTGCATGGTCTGGTCAGCTCTTCAGGCTGCCCCCTTTAGGCTCAGTCCTCTGTGATCACAGAACCCAGCTCTCAATTCCCCCGGCAGCGCCAGGAATCCCGCGGTTCTCCTTTCCCCCGTCAGGGGCTCTGCCTGTCCCAAGGGACGCGGCTGTCTGCCACGCGGTCTCCCTCCGACTCTCTGGGCTCAGAGGTCTGGCAAACTTTCCTGCCCAAATCCCTGGTTTTTTTTACCTTTCCAGGGGAGTTCTGCTCTTCCCGGCTGTAAACCGTCTCGCCAGCTGAGCTCACCTCAGTTTTTTTAAATGGAAGGGAAAGAAAGTTTATTTCCAACAGGACCTGTTGTCACATTAACCATATCCTTATCCTTCAGTCATTCTCACCTTGAGCCAAATTTAAAACTTTAAGTCATCACTAAGGCTCCTTCAATAAGACAGGAGGAGGAAATAACAAAAACCTGCTATAGCGCCCCTGCTGTATCTGGTCACAGGTCTAAGTGAGCAATTATGCATCGTCCTTCCACCCCCTCCATGTTCCTCTTACCAGTGGCCAGCACTTATTAGGTTCTTTACCTGGTGGGGTGTCCTAAACCTTTATTCCTAGGCAATTCGTGCTCTTATTGATCTAAGGTTTGTCTGGTTGTGAAGCTTCCTGATAACTGTCATAACTGTACTGGGAGATCTGAGAGGCACCCAGTAAATCCTGGATTCAGACATAGCCTTCCTGCCCACCCCCCATTTTCCTTCTGGTCATCCAGATTGCCCAGCCTTTCTGGTACAGTTGATACCCCTCTCTGCCTTTTGGTTCAGTAACATACAAAGCTCAAAATGACCAGTGGGGCCCTGGCCAGCGTTTCTCAGTGGTTAGAGCGTCAGCACCAAAGAGTCACAGGTTCGATTCTCAAAGGCACATACTTGGGTTGTGGGTTTGATCCCCAACCCTGGTCAGGGTGTGTGTAGGAGGCAACCAATTGATGTGTCTCTCAGATCAATGTTTCTCTCTCTCCTCCACCTCCCTCCTTCCCTTCCACTCTCTCTAAAATCAATGGAAAAAATATCCTTTTGTGAGGATTAACAAAATTAACAACAAACTTCCAGTTTAAGAAACCATATCTGTGTTCCCTGGGGCAAGTAAGCATTCCTCCTTTGGGCACCAAGGACTCCAAACCCACTGAACACAAAGTTGAGGGGATGGAAAACAAAAATTTCTCCGGTAGGTTACTTGGAAAAATAGTGGGAAGAGCCACTCCCATCTCTACCCTGTGGTCCCTGGGCCTCTGTGTTCTGGATGTGAGAAAGGTGGAGCCATATATTGGCCATTGGTTTAAAGCAGGGGTGGGGAATGCCCGGCCCATGAAATCATTCGGTCTGGCCCTACCAGGGCATTAAGGGTGAGTTAATTAAATGTTTGACCAACTATAGCAGGCTAATTTTTAAGTTGATCATTTTGTATGGCCCTTGAATGATGTTATAAATATCCACATGGCCCTTGGCAGAAGAAAGGTTCCCCACCCCAGATTTAAAGCATGTACTGCATCCTGGCCGTCAATAACCTAGCCTTGCAGGTGGTGTCTCCCAGCTGGTACTGACTGTCCAGTCAACAGCTCTGAGTGACAGGCCACATTGTAAGTCCAGTGTGTTCCAGGGGGGAGGCCATATGCCCTTCACCCTATCATGAAGATAGGCATGTGCGGGTAGCATCGTGATGAATCAGGTATTCTGGAAAGTCCAGAAGTGATGGTGCAGAAGCATTGCAGGCAGGAAGTCCATATCTGGAATACATATTGATTACCATGAGGTAACAAAAACTATTCCTTTTATGAAACAAGGGGGCAATGAGGTCAGCCTGCCAATAGGTAGCTAGCAGGTCACTCTAGAGCAGTGGCTCTCAAATTTTTGGCCCCACGAGTCGTTTATACTCTTAAAAATTACAGAGGGTTTCCTATGTGGGTTATATGTATTTTACTGGATTAGAGTTTAAAGCTTTAACTTGACTTGGGGTGGTGAACACAATGCAATATACAGATGATGTATTATAGAATTGTACACCTGAAACCTATATAATTTATTAACCAGTGTTGCTCCAATAAATTCAATTTTAAAAAAGAAATTAAAGCTTTAAAATATTAGTTTATTTAAAACTAATAAACCCATTTCCGATTAATATAAATATAACCTTTTAAATGAAAAACAACTTCAAAACAAAAATTGTGAGAAGTGGCATTATGTGACATTTTTACAAATCTCTCTAGAATCTGGCTTAATAGAAGACAGCTAGATTCTCAAATCTGCTTTGGCATTCAGTCTGTTGTACACATCTCGCATAGCCTCTGGAAAATTCCACTGTCCACTTGAAAGAATGACAGTGAAAATGACAAAGAATGTCTTGGTGTAAGGATGAAAGTAGATTTGGCCTCACAAAACCCATGAAAGAATCTTGGGGACCCCCAAGGGTTCGTGGTCCCCACTTTGAGAACCATTGTCCCAGGGAGTGGTACCATATTGGAAACAGCTTGGTCTTTGCTGCCAGCAGCTTGAGCACTCAGCAGTTCCAGTTGCCAGGTCAGATTTGGTAAGGGAAATGTGTTGAGCCCTTGTATATCAGTTTTCTATGGCTACTATAATAAATCACCACAAACATAGTGGCTTAAACCAACATAGATCTATCTTACAGTTCTGGACATTAAAAGCCTGAAATGCACCTCACAGGGCTAAAATGAAGGTGTTGGCCAGGCTGTGTTCCTTTCTGGAGTCTCTAGAGGAGAATCTGTTTTCTTTGCCTTTTCCAGATTCTAGAGCAGGGGTGGGCAAACTTTTTGACTCAAGGGCCACAATGGGTTCTTAAACTGGACCAGCTGGAACAAAAGCATGGATGGAGTGTTTGTGTGAACTAATATAAATTCAAAGTAAACATCTTTATATAAAAGGGTACGGTCTTTTTTTTTTTTTTTTTTTAGTTTTATTCATTTCAAACGGGCCGGATCCAGCCCTCGGGCCGTAGTTTGCCCACGGCTGTTCTAGAGGCTGCCTGTATTCCTTGGCTTTTGCCCTCCTTCCATCTTCAAAACCAGTCATGGCCAGTCAAGTCTTTCTCACATCACATACACCACTCTGACACTGGCTCGGCCTCTGACTTCCACATTTAAAGACCCTTGTGATTACATCAGGCCCACCCAGATAATTTAAGGTCAGCTGATTAGAACCTTAATTCTATCTGCTACCTTAATTCACCCTGTGCCAAAGATTACAACATGGACATCTTTAGGGGGTCATTATTCTGCCTACCTCACTATAAATAGCCCCTATCTCTGTCAGCATGGTTGCTCTGTATGGGGGGGCCTATTGAGCAAGAACCAGGGTACCTGGTGAAAGAAGTTGACATCTACATTTGTCCACCTGATTATTGAGAGCCTCCTTCAAAATGACCCCTCAGGGCATTTGTGTGGGTTAAAAAGAGTTTTACCACGTGTGCCCCTTTCCAGCAGTCCATCCATATCTTTCCCTTAGACCTCCTCCTCATCAGTCTTGGTATTTCATTTTTAAACATGTTTTTATTGATTTTGAGAGAGAGAGAGAGGAAGGGAGAGGAAGAGAGAGAAGCATCAACATCAATTGGTTGCCTCCTGCACAACCCCTGCTGGGGATCAAGCCAGAAACCCAGGCATGTGCCCTGACCGGGAATCTAACGGGGAATCTCCTGGTGCAGGGGTTGACACTCAACCATGAGCCACATTGGCTGGGCAATCTTGGTGTTTTCAAGTCTCTGACCAGCCAGCCAACTTGCCAGCCACTGCTCATGAATCAAAGTAGATCTGTAACTTAGGTCATCTTTTCTTTCATGCAAAATGGACAATTGATATAACTAGAAGAGGCTACCCCTTCATCACTGTCTTTTAGAGACACCCTGACTGTGGCTTTAATACAGTAGTTGTCCATATGTGGCAGGTGTAACATACAGACTCACATAGAAATCATGTCTGTCCTTTTTCCTCCATATGAACTGGTCATAGCAACTTCCCCAAAGGTGGGTTAAGGGAGAAGCAGTGAAGCCATAAGTGTAGGTACAGTAAGGATTTGGTCCACCCGCTCATGCACTCTCCTTGTACCTTCTGGAGTTGCTCAGACCTGATCTCATATGCACTCTTTAAGAACAGAATGCTACCAAAAATAAAAATAAAAAGAACAGAATGCTACCGTGCATGTCCAATTGCATGTTTGATGGATCAGATAATATCCAGTTCTTGCTATGGGTCACTTGCTGTCCCACAGTGAGGTATTCAGTCTCTAGGTGTCCAGTTGTGAGCCAGGAACTGATTTAAAGTGCAGACTGATTACTGGCAGAGAGGGCATGAATTAATGCCAGACCCCAAGGGTCTGTAACTCTGCTGCGACATGCCTATGGAACTTGTCCATACAGCATCTTTTTCTGACATACTCATTTGCAAATCATAAAGCTCATGTGACAGGGCAGCTTGCTCTGCAGTCTGGACCTGCTGCAGTCTTATGTTGCTGCAGGCCTCACTCAAAACTTGCAGTCCTATGGGTTTCCCAGTAAATGGGCAGAACAACACTGACAAATCCTATATAATAAAGCCTAATATGCTAAGTGCCTGGTCATCCAGTCAGCCATTCAACCAGTCAAAGCATAATATGCTAATGATATGCTAAGGCCGCTCAACTGCTCGCTATGACGTGCACTGACTACCAGGGGGCAGATGCTCCCCGACTGGTAGGTTAGCTTGCTGCTGGGGTCCGGCTGATAGGGACTGAGCAAGACAGGCTGGACACACCCTGGAGCCCTCCCGATGTCCCTCCCCACCAGGGGGCAGATGCAGTGAGCAGGCGGGTGGTAAGGAGCGAGGGGTCCTGGACTGCAAGAGGATGCAGACCAGGCTGAGGGACCCCCCCACCCCCAGTGCACGAATTTCGTGCACCGGTCCTCTAGTATGTTATATGTTGCCTCAAAAATCCAGAGTCCCATCCAACATTCTGCTTCTTTCTTTGTAGTGGGCAATAAAGTTTCAACAATTGCCTTTCACTTTAGAGGAGATATTCTAACATGCCCCAGATCACTGAATATTCCAAAAAGTTTATTGACATGACATGCCTCTCCATTTTTGTGAGATTTATTACCCTTCCCTTGACATACATATGTTCTACTAAGAATCTAAAGTGTTTGCAATTTCCTGCTCAGTGGGCCCAATTATCATAAGTCATCAATATAATGGACCAGCATAATGTTTTGAACTATAGCAAGGTGACCTATGTCCCTTTGGACTGTAGTATGACAGAAATCGGGAGACAAAGCCCTGAGGTCGTAGAATGAAGATGTACTGCTGTCCCAGATACACAAAGGCAAACTATTTCTGATTATCTTTACTTAGCGGAATGGAAAAGAAAGCACTTGGGATCAAGATGTACATCAGGCCCAAAGTTGCGTTGACGTGTTCCAGTAAAAATGTCATGTCTAGAACCACAGCTGCAATTGACATCCCACCTATCTTCACAGTAATCTATGGTCATTCTCCAAGGCCCACCTGGTTTTCCCACCAGCCAAGTAGGTGAGTTAAACTGAGTCTTGGTAGGAATGACTGCATGATCTTTGATGGTGGCACTAATTTCTGAAATTTCTTTAGGGATGTGGAATTGCCTTTGGTTTGCTATTTTAATGGTGATGAGATTGTAGTTCAGGGACTTCCATTCGACCCTGCCACCCCTAAAGCTCTCATTCCATGAGTTAGGAAATCAGCAGGGAGATTCTGCCAGTTAATTTACAGACACAGGATGGGTCTGTGGTCCCACTGGATCCACATGGGCTTAGAACAGATTGAAAGCCTTGAACTTGGGACTCAATGCAAGGACAGAACTTCAGAAAGCCTCTAGGGAAGTCCTGAAGTCTTTGCTCTCTAGTAGCTACAAGGCACACATATGGCAAAGGACCAAGCCTGGGCCCTGACTATCAGGATCCCAGGGTTGCAGAGCCAATGAGATGAGCAGTCCCACCATTTGGAAGGGCACTGGTCAAGAGGGAATGGGACCCCAGACATGGGGTGGGGACGTTTGGGTAGAATTTTGAAACCCCAACACCCCCTGAGTGCTTAACTCCAAAAATAATCAGGAAAGTGCCGAAACTATACTGAAATACCACTATACACACACCAGGTGGGTCAAATTCAGAAGTCTTGCAGACCAGTAGAACAGGGTGTGAAACAATGGGAACTCTCATTTCTGCTGGTGATTAGCCCAACTACTTTGGGGACAAGTTGGGCATTTTCCAGTAAAGTGGTATAAATACTTATACCCTGTGCTCCAACAATACCACGCTGGAAAAATGCCCCAAAAAGTACATGCACTGTGCACCGGGACACATGTACAGAAGTGTTCAAAGGAGGCCTGGGTCTGACCAGCGTGGCTCAGTGGTTGAACATTGACCTATGAACCAGGAGGTCGTGGTTCGATTCCTGGCCAGGGCACATGCCCACTTGTAGTGGGTGTGCAGGAGGCAGCCAATCAATGATTCTCTCTCATCATTGATGTTTCTATCTCTCTCTCTCCTCTCTTCCTCTCTGAAATCAAAAATATATATATTTAAAAAAAAAAAAAAGAAGGCCTGGCTGGGGGGCTTGGTTGGAGCATTGTCCTGTACACCAAAAGGTTGCGGTTCGATTCCCAGTCAGGGCACATTCTTAGGTTGCAGGTTTGGCCCTGGTCAGGGTTCATGCAGGAGGCAACTGATTGATGTCTCTCTCTTACATCGATGTTTCTCTCTCTCTCTCTCTCTCTCTCTCTCTCTCTCTCTCTCTCCAATAAAAACATTTTTTAAAAGTGTTTAGAGGAGAATTATTTATGTAGCTCAAACTGGAAACAATCAAAATGCCTATCAACAGTAAAGTAGATAAATAAATGTTGTTATACCATACCATGGAATATTAAACAGCAATGAAAATGAACAAATGACATGGATTAATGTTATAAATCCAGTGCTACACAAAAGAAGCAAAACATAAAAGGTACATAGGGAATCATACCAGTTATATAAAATTCAAAACCAGAAAACTCTAAACTGTATTGTATAAGGATGGATAAACTATAAAGAACTGTAAAACTGTAACACATGGCAGAGATTTCCATAAATACAAGAATGATTAACCTTAAGAGGAAAGGAGGGGGTGTGATTGAGAAGGGGCACACGGGATTCCTGTGGCATTGGCAATAGTCTATTTCTTGATTTGGGCAGTGATTACACAGATGTTTGTTTTATAATTATATATTATACTGTGCATTTGTATTTAATGCAACTTTCTGTGTGTGAGTTATATTTTACAATCAAATCTTTAAACAGAAACAAGATATCATGAACAATTGTATGCTGATATACTTGAAAATGTAGGCAAGATGGGTAAACTTCTAGAAAACTATTACTTTCCAAAACTGAAGCAAATTTAAAAAAATGAGATATCTGAATAGTTCTATAACTAGTCATCTATTGCTATGTAACAGATTACCACAAATTTAGAAATTTAGAAAAGCACATTTATTACCTCCTGATTTCTGTGAGTTAAGAGTCTGGGTGCATCTTAACTGGGTGCTCTGATTCAAGACCTCCCACAAGGCTGCAATTGTTGGCCAGGGCTAGGATCGCATCTGAAGGCTGAGTTAGGGAAAGATCTACATCCAAGTTCACATAGCTGTTGGCAGATCCAGTTCCTCAAGGGTTGTTGGACTGTGGGCCTCCGTTCCTAGCTGGCTGGTGGTCTATGGTTGCTATCTGTTTCTTGCCACATGGATCTCTTTAACACAGCCACTTGCTTCATCAAAGGGTGCAAGCCAGGAAGGCCAGAGGGAGAGCCTGTTGCAAGACAGAAGTTACAGTCTTCTGTAACCTACTCATGGAAGTGACATTCTGTCATCTTTGCCATGTTACATTGGTTAGAATCTTTTCCCAAAGTGGCTGAGCCACTTTTTCCTTCCATCAACACTGTATGGACTTCCCAGGTACTCCATGTCTTCATCAACTCTTGGGGTTGGTGGTCTTTTCATCTTTTCATTCTGAGGAGTTGTTCAGCAGCATCTCATTGTGGCTTCAATTTACATTTTCTTAATGACTAAAATGTTGAATATCTTGTCTCACACGTATTGGCTATGTGCATATCTTTCTTTGCAAAGTATCCGTTCAACTCTTTTGTCCATTTAAAAATTGTCTTTCTATTATTGAATTTTATAAGCACTTTATGTTTTCTGGAAGCAAGCCACTTACCAAGATGTGTGCTTTGTGAATATTTTCTTCCACACTATGGCTTGTCTATTCATTTTCTTTTTTAAAAATATTTTTTATTGATTTCAGAGAGGAAGAGAGAGGGAGAGAGAGATAGAAACATCAATGATGAGAGAGAAATACTAGTATTGATCGGCTGCCTCCTTCACACCTCCCCACTGGGGTTTGAGCCTGCAACCCGGACATGTACCCTGAGGGGAATCAAACCGTGATCTCGTGGTTCATAGGTCTACACTCAACCACTGAGCCACACTGGCTGGGCAATTCTATTTATTTTCTTAATGATGACTTTTGATGAGCATTTTTAAACTATGATGAAGTCCAATCCAAGTCCAGTCCAAGAAATCTTTGCCTACCTCCAGATTGCAAAGCTTTTCTCCTATGTTTTATTCTAGAAGCTTTATGGCTTTAATTGTACATTTAATTTCAACAACTCCTAGGAGTTAGATGCTTTTTCCCCTTTTAAAGGGGAGGAAACTGGGGCCACAGAAAGGCTAAGTAACTTGCACGTGGCGCGCGCGCGCGCGCGCGCGCACACACACACACACACACACACACACACACACACACCCTTAGTAAGTAGTTGTACTGGGACTGGAATCCAGGTCAGATGCCAGACCCGAACTCTGATACACCACTATGGACCGCTTTCATAAAGTGTGGGGAAAGGCGGAAATCAGACCAAACTATTCTCTAGGGCCAGTGGCCTCTGTCCTTTCCTACAGGAAGAGGCAGCTGGGCACAGGGAGCTGGAGAAGGAGGGAGGAGGGGCTGGAAGAACTCAGGGTCATGGATTACTCTAGGACTGTCTGGACGGTCTGACCAGGCTTCCTCTGACTGTCCCGGTTTAGCCCCACTACCCTCCACAAGACCCAAGGGGCTTTGGATCCTGTTGATCGTCTGTGGACAATATTTCTCTCTGGCACTACTTATTCTTCGTTCCTTATGCTTACAGCATCACACCTGGAGGATTCATTCATGACTCAAACCTTTATTCTTGAAGAATCACAACCCTTGGGTGTATTTCCACCCATGTAGGGGTGAAAATCCTCCATTTACTTTTACTACTGGACCCAGAGGAACAAGGAGACACATCACAGGTGATCCCACCCAACCTGGGCTCTCTCCAGATTTCTCCCCAACTCTACTTTATAGCAGCCTCCACTTCTTTTTCATAGTCAAGGTCAACACCCCAGCCAATACCACAATCCGCCTGATTACTTGTTTTCTCAGTGGCCAGTGACAGTCTCAGCTCCTATTCAGGTAAGTCATTTTTGCATCTCTCGAGGGACCCAGTTCCCCACTGGGTGGTAAGGATGTAAAATTTCAATCTCTGCCCCCACCCCCCACCACCACTCACTCTCAGGCTCACATATTTGACCCCAGGAGAACTAGCACCATATGTTGGTACTGGTTCAGCATGCTCCACAATCTGCAGACCAGCAGGTCCCACAAGGTGGTACCTCTCAGCTCACATAGTAACCGAGCCTGCAGGAGGGTGTTCCGCCATGCGTTAAGGCCACCTAGTCCTGGATAATGGGTACAAGGAAAGACCAGGGAACCCCATGGGCACTGGCCTATTAGCATACATCTTTGGCCTTCATAGGAACATGAGCTTCTTGGTGTTAGACAATGCCTAACAGTGGCATCAGTAGGTTTATGAGTGGAGGTGCAGAGGGAGGCAGCGGGAGGATGAGAAAGCAAATCCAACTCTACAATAGGATCCATTGCAGGTGGACAAATGGCTGCCCCTCCATGGAGGGAGTTTGTGAAATCAGACTGTGAAGTCAGAAAAAAAAAAAAAAATATATATATATATATATATATATATATATATATATATATATATTCTGCCCCTGGGTTCCTGGCACAGAGCCCCTAAACCCTTTTTTCATAAGTGATAGGAGCATCTTTTGTTCTATTAAGATGACTTTGGGTGGGCTATTGGATGGCTCCTGGATGGGGACTGGTCACCAAAAAAAAAAAAAAAAAAAAAAAAAGCCATGATCAGAAGCTTAAAATGTTCAGCACCACCCATCATCCTTCAGAGAGGGGAGAAGGGCTAAACATGGGGTTAGTAATGGATCATGACTACATGAAATCCCTATAGTATGGAATTCTATACTATAAAATCCATAAAATTCCTATAGTATGGGATTCAGAGAGCTTCCAGGTGAGTGAGCACATCCACATACCAAGAGGGTGATGTACCCCAACTCCATGGGACAGAAGCTCCTGCACTTGGGAACCTCCCAGACCTCACCCTATGTACTTCTTCATCCGGGTGTTCATCTGTATCCTTTACCGTAGCCTTTTATAAACTGGTAAATATAAGTAAGTGTCTTCCTGAGTTCTGTGAGTCTCTCTAACACACTAATCAAATCCAAGAGGAGGAGGTCATGGGAACCTCTGATTTGTACCCAAGTCAGACAGACATTGTGGGTAACCTGGGGACCTACTACTTGTGATTGGTCTCTGAAGTGGGGGGGCTGTCTCCTGGGACCGAGCCCTTAACCTGTGGGATCTGACACTATCTCCAGGTACTTGGGTCAGAACTGAATTAAATTTCAGGACACCCAGCTGCTGTCCTCGAGAATTGCTTTGTATGGGGGAAAAACTCCCACATATTTCAGTGTGAAGTGTTCTGTGACTAGGAAAGGAGACACAGGAGAGAAACACACAGGCGAAGGACACGTAGTAAGGAAGAACTGGGTTTTCCCCAACACGGAAGGAAGAACTGTGGGTTTTTCCAAAACATAAGCTATCACCTGATGCCTGACAGAGCTTCAAAGACACCGTTTTGGCCACTCAGAGGTGATGGTGGCCAGGCTGGCTGAGGTGGGGCATATTCATGCTGAGAGGCCAGGCAGAGGCTCCGCCTGCCTCCCTGGCCACTTTGTTCCTGGGCCCCTTGATTCGGTTCTTGAGCATCTGTGGCTTGTGGGAGACTCTCAGAACCCAGGACATCACCATGCAACAATTTGTCCTCCTCTTGGGAAGCAGATGGAATTAATAAGCTGTGACTATCAAGCAAGTTCTACCAGAAGATAAATTATACATACTGCAACAAGGGGAAGGAGAACATGTGAGGTTTGCAAAATTCTTACGGGAATTTGTCCTTGTCCTAAAAAAAAAAAAAAAAATGCTGGCTTGCTGTTTAACATTTCTATTAGAAAGTTGAAGCTCTTTGTACCTCCAATAAGACAGGAAAGTCATGCTGGTATGTCACCTCTGTAGCTGCCTCAAACTAGTAAGAGTCACAACCAAGTTATGACCGATTCTGTTTCCAGGAAATAATAGCCAAACGTGGCTTAGTATTATCTTAGATCATGATAATGGGGCAGGGAAAAGCCTGGGTCTCTTGTCCTCAAATCGAAGACTCGTTGCAATTAGAAGCATCAAAGTTTAGGCTCAGCTGAGGCTGAGATAGCTTCTTGAGTTTTGTCCAGGTCCTGAAACCAGAGAGGGGAAGAAAGTAGTGGCGCCCACGGGTGTCCCCTGACTGTTAACATTGCTCTCTGATGGCCAGCCACTTGGCACAAGCACTCTCTCACAATCTGGGCCCGTTCTGAGAGTCTAACCACATAGCACCTCCTTGTCACCACCTCCAGTCTCCCTCCTTCCATGGCCCTCCTGCTCACATGGCAAGGCCACCAGCCACTGCCCAGAGCTGACCTCAGGCTGCTTCTCCTTCTGTGCAAAATGGAACGGGTTCTCGTCACTGCCGCTGCTGCAGCGCCGTCACAGCAATCGATCTCTGGCTGGGGCTGGCTGCTTGCAGAACCATCTGCTAACAGGCTGTGGAGAGAGCTCAGAATTGTCTGAGAAATGACCTCCAAGGCTCATCCTGGGTTACCTGGCAACTAGCAAGCCAACCAATGGCTCCCTGTCCCTAAGGAGGGGCTGTGCCTGAACTCAACCTCCCACGGGATGAGGTTGAGGTGGGGCACAGGGCCAGGGCCTCCAGGCCAGCACTTTCCCAAACAGCTGACACTTCAGTTGAGCCTGCATACCATCTATTCCCCACATTCCATTGCCCCCAAGGTCATTCTCACATTCACCAATGTCAAGGTCAAACATGGCAGGGGGACCAGGGTGCTGCCTCCAGCCTCAGCCAGAGACCCGGTGCGGCTGAATGTCCCCGAGCTCTTTGCATAGCACAGACTAGAGTCTCCAATCCTTGGGCAACTGGTCCTAGGGACCTGCCCCTGAGGAGCAGGTGGAGGGAGGGGCAGCCTGAGAGGGACTCCGGCGAATGAGCTGCGTGCTCAGCAGCCTCCTGGGCTTCAGGACATGCCTGGACCCAGTCCCTCTCCCACGTGTGCCTGCTCCCCTTGACGACAGATGCTGCTGGGCAGACCTGCCTTTGTGCAAGGTCAGACAGCACACACCTCTCATCACATGGTCCCCAGGTGCCTCGCGTCAGGCTTGCCGTCTCCCCGGGGCCCAGCAGCTTATGAAAGCAATGAGCTGTTTCTCAAAAGAACAGTGGCTTGCAGAATGAGACACAGCTTTGCTCTAAAATCCTGGCTCCTGAGCAGAGCCTTGCCTCCTGGGGCTTGTCCCAGGCTCCATAAGGGCATCTCAATATGCCACAGACACTCGGGGCCTCGAACAATTCCAGCTTTGGAGCAACTGGCATGTGCGAGGGCAGGCAGCTGGTCCTCACACCATCCAGGACCCGGGTGACAGGGCTGCCTCCTGGGAGAGGGCTGCACAGCGCCTGCCTCAGGAAGGGATACAGATTAGCTGGGGCCCTGGGCCTGGACCTCTGCCCACAAGCCTTCCCCAGCCCCAGAGTCCCCTATTGGGACCCTGGAGCTCTACCTGCCTTTAGTTCCACCCAACGGATCAGAATGGACCCCTGATCTTCTTACGACTTATTAGAGGAAGTAGAATAGCACACCGTGTTTTCACTTGAGTGTACATCAGAACCTCTGTGTGGGCAGCTTGCTTAGAATAGAGCTGCTCAGGCCCCAGCGCTGGAGAGCCTAAAGCCGCAGAGCTGAGGTGGGACTCAAATCCACAGTCTATCCATGCTCCCCACCCTATGATTCTCACCCGGGGAGCCTGCCAGCTACGCTAGTGGAACGCCTCAGGGCCAGGCAAGTCTGGGTCCAAATCCAAGTTCTGTTCCCGTGTTAGTTGGCACCATTTCAGCTATGAGCGATGGATATCCAAAAGATCAGGGGTCTCAACAGGATAGAAGTTTACGTCTCTCATGTGAATGTCTAGGAACGCAGTCCCGGGTGGTATGGTGGCACCACAGTCCTTAAGGACATAGACATTGTCTATCCTGTTAACAAATCCTCCACATTCAGCTTTGGCTTCTTGGTCCAAAATGGCTGCTCCGGGTCCAGCCATCATGCTGGTGTTTCGTGGAGCAGGAACGAGGGAAGGGAGGAGCACGAGTCCTCCATTTAAGGGTAATTCGTCCAAGTTGCACTCACCACTTCCACTTACATCCCCCTGGCCAGGACTTGGTTATATGGCTAGATATTCTGCAAGGAAGGAGGGAACACGTAGATTTTTATTTGTTTATAAATGACTAGTAGCCCTGCACACAAATCCATGCACCAGTAGCTTGCTGCTGCCCTCCTGTAGCTCTCCACCTGCTGCCCCCCCCCCCTGCTCCTGTAGCTCCCCCTGCTCCCCTCCCTCCCCCCATAGCTTGCTGCCCTGCCCCCTCCCATAGCTCTCGGCCACCCACTTGTAGCTCCCTGCCCCACCCTCCTGCTGATCCCGGTTGTTACACTTCAGGTGTAACAATCATTTGCATATCACATCTTTATTATATAGGATGATTTAGTCACAGAAAGAGTGTCCAAAGTAGCTGAGACAGGCAGACAGGGTGACGAAAGTGAAAGATCAAATCAGCTAACATCACTTGTGTACTTACTGCTGCCAGTCACCGTTCTAAGCACTTTATACATAACCATGAATTTCATTCTTCTAACAATCCTGGGAAATGGTCCTGTCATTCCTTGTGTGCCTTGATGGGGTCACACACCTACCCCGAAAACACACAGACTGCAAGATTAGCCTTGCCTCTTACTCCCTAACCAACTCTCAGCAAGCTCTTTGCTGACAAAAGAGAGGAGGAAAACCATACTTAGTTCAGACCAGACACAATTTACACCCCCAAGACCTGGATACAATGCCCCCCAAAACCTTGACAGAGCCTCTGCCAGCCTGGAGGAAGGGTAGAAACCAGGTGTCAACAGGGGTGTCCCATGAGACCGAGGGAAGTTTTGCTCAAACCCCATCTTGTGCCTCTGGACACGCTAGGGATTTCAGGCTTGGGCTTCTTCTGCTGAATTCTGTCTGTGGTGTCTGGAGCCTGGAGGTGTAATTGCTGGGGGCTGGGTCTGCTGTTGGCACAATGCTGGGCACAAACTGGATGCTTCACAAATGTTTATCAATAATAACTAGAGGCCTGGTGCATGAATTCATGCATGGGTGGGGTCCCTTGGGGTGGCCTGTGGGGATTGGGCCCCAGCTTGCGCCCCCAGGCTTGCAGCCCCGCAGCCCTGGCTGGCACCCTGCTGTGGCCTGGCATCGCCCCCTCACCTGCCTGCGGGGCAATCGATAGGGGCCAGGCTCCCTGCCCCCCCTCACCCCCACACCCCCTACCCCCTCACCCCCTGATCCCCCCTGACCCCTACCCCCCCGACCCCTACCCCCCTACCCCGCATACACATGCCTTGGCCTAGCACCACTGGCTCACCTGCTCCACCATCCCGCTGGGGTCCCACTCTTGTCGGGGCCCATCAGGGCCAGCAGTGCTTCCAACTGCTGCCCGCTGCCAGCGTCACATTGCCAACACCCACCCTGTTCCATTCCACCCCCTGGTGGTCAGCTCACATCATAGCAAGCGGTAGAATTCCTGGTTGAACTCCCAGTCGAACTCTCCCAGTCGAACAATTTGCATATTAGACTTTTATTATATAGGATGGTAATAACCATTATTTAATCCTCACCGGATGATATGTTTTTATTG